TATTTTTGAACTCATTCTTTATTTAGGTTCGGTGTGCAGTTTCTTTGTGTTGTTTCATCCACGTGTCGTACCTCAGAAATCTGGTGACTACGTACACTCGGTAAAATAAAGTCACAGGACACTTTTTGCGAAATAATAGTGGGAAACTACGTAATGAAAAACTTGTGTTACTGTTGTAAGCACAGATTCAACATATTCTGAAATATGTATACGTACTAGATTTAAGTCTTTAATCATTCACTAAAGCTATAGCTAAAATATGATATTTCCAAAACTAATAATTTGTACGAAAAAAGTATATCACTACAACGTTATAAAGATTAATAAAAAATTTTAAGTTTGTATTTTAAAATGATTCAAGTTTTTTTGATCACTGTCTAAAAAGTTATAACTAATAAAAAAACTCATATAGATGTTCTAAGTTTATAGATTCTAAATATTCTGAAATATGCAATATTTAATCTTCAAGTTTTTTCAATCACTCTTTAGGAAATTATACCTAAAATAATTAAAGTATTATATTTCAACAACTTTAATAATATATTTTATAATTTGTGAGTGAACTAATGAAAAAATATGTTATACTAAATTTCAAGTTTTTTTAAAAAGGTATAATGAATATAATACTTTAATACATTTCGCCATACCTTTTTGAAAAGCGATTATAAAAATTTGAAATTTTAGTATAACACATTACAGAACATTTCAAATTTATGTATTTAGAACATTAATACAAGTTTTTCATTAATTTCCACACAATTGTCTCACAAAAAAAGTTTCCAGTGACTTTTGTCCACCAAGTAATAACTAGTGCTCCGGCCGGACGGGACGGGTCGGGTTTTTAGATATATATGAACTCGACCCGAGTTAAAAATCTTTATATATATGAAAATACCCAGTCAGCTTTTATATAACCCGAACTCGACTCGACTCGACTCATATCGACCCGGGGATATTATAATATTATTGATAGTGCGCCGAAGGGTCGAGTCAGGTCGGGTTTGGGACATATTCGAACTCAACCCGAGTATAAAAATTAAAATATAAAAATCCCCGGGTTAGCATTTATGCAATCCGAATTCGACCCGAGCAGATTATGATTTAATTTGATTAACTCGAACTTTGCTAAATTTAAAAAGCAAAATTAGATATGCATATAACGATAATATTTAATGCGCATAATCGTCGACTGTATTTTTTGCCCACTTCTAATCGGCGTTTTTGGTGTTTTTGTAGTATATATGTATAAATGCATTGATTTTTTATGAATGATAACTGGTTAGTAACTACAGGTATACATATAATTATCTAAAAACAGTAATTAATGTTCTTTATTTATAGCATACATATTTAATAACTATCACTATTGCTATTACTATCACTATCACTTGAAATCTCTAATATATACTTCATTACTATTGTCTGATGTATCAAGTATTGCTTACCATTACCATGAACTGTTTCTAAACTTCTTTCTATATCACTTTCATCACTTTCATTATCTATATAATATTGATCTATATTTATCTTTTCATTCATCACAGCAATGTATTTCTCAATAACTTTTTTTTGTTGATCTGGAGGAGATTGCAATTTATGATTGCTATAATATAAACTAATTTAAGAATATGCTTAGGACAGTGACATATATTATTTTATTATAAGTGTCTACCTCTTTTATCTCCAAATCAAATATGTAGTACATGTTATTTTGTCATACAATAACTTTGTATTATATTGGATCTCTAATCTTCTAATTATTTTGTGAAACTTAAAAGATTGTGCTTATTGATAAACCAAATTTGATTAGTTTTGTTTATTTATAATAAATAAATATCTAATCTCCTAATTATTTTGTAAAACTTAAAAGATTGATAAACCAAATTCAATTAATCTTGTTTATTTATAACAAATAAATATCTAATCTTTTAATTATTTGTGAAACTTAAATGATTATAATTATTGATAAACCAAATTTGACTAGTTCTATCTATTTATAATAGATAAATCTCTAATCTCCTAATTATTTTGTAAAACTTAAAAAGATTAATAAACCAAATTTGATTAATCTTATTTATTTATAACAAATAAATATCTAATCTTCTAATTATTTGTGAAACTTAAAAAATTATGCTTATTGATAAATCAAATTCAATTAGTTCTGTCTATTTATAATAGATAAATATTTAATTTTCTGATTATTTTATGAAACTTATAAGACTGTGCTTATTGATAAATTAAATTTAATTAATTTTGTCTATTTATAACAGATAAACTCATAATATATACATTTTTATAAAAAATTTTCATTTTGCTTGACTAAAAGAGATAAATAAAAAGAGTAGTATATTAAAATTATTATTTTTATTTCTCTGAAACTTGATAATCAAGCTAGCAATTTTGTATTTTTTATTATAAAACTCAAAAAATTATATTTATTTTATCAATTTATAAATATATTTACTAAATTATATACAATTTTTTGATAAATACTGAAGAAGCACATATTACTGTCACTTCTGTTATTTATTAGAAAATAAAAAAAAACTATGAATATTACAAAATAAATTAAAAAATATTATAAATTATGCTATAGATTTTGCTAGTAATTTATATGAAGAAAATTCAACACGTCAATTAAAACTTCTTCAAATACTTTATCAGGTTTTTTATTACTCTTGTTTATTTATAATAAATAAAATTACTTTTGCTATATGATAATATTATATAATTCATTCACAAAAATAAATGCTAAATAAACAGTTTAATTATTTTAATTATTACTTATTTATATTTATCCTAATTAGTTCACTTTCATATAATATTTATATAATTTGGAAAATATTTAAAAAGCTGTTATGTAGTTATTTTATTCATTCTATAACATATAATATCTTTGCTTTGCAAATAATCTATCATGATTAAATTTATTTGACAATATGGAGAATAACTAAGTTATAAGTTATTATATTGTTTTATAATATTACACAGAGTTTCATTGGTATGATAATTACACAAAAATGATAATTTTGCATATGTATTGATAGTATATGTATTTTTTAAGAATAAAAATTTAAAGTTATAATATAATACTGAAAATTAACACATAATATTTTATATTTTATTGAAAAGTTATAAGCTTTTAAATTGTGTATAATATTTTTATTATTTATATTGTTTTTTCTAAAAAATTTTATTATTATAGAAATGAAAATGTTATCTCTTTTTCTTGAAAAGTTTTAAGCTTTTAAAAATCTGTACTAACAAAATTTATTATTATATCTCAAATAAATTTGATATATATAGAATAACTCGTACTCCTAACCAGTGAAATAATTTTTGCTAAATGTGTACGTATAATTATATAATACATAAGTAAAATTTTACAGTCAAAAAAGGAAATGTAGTTTGTGAATTTCGAATTGATTCATCAGTAATACTTATTTTATAAGAAATACATTAATTGAGATGAATTTTAAGTTGATAACTTGTTTAAATGCATTATCGTTATGAAGTAGTGATAGCAGTTCTTTCAAAAGAGATCCATTTATAATGATAAGATCTTTCGTAACATTAATTAGAGTCATCAAGAACATACTGACAAGAGTAGCATTTATAATATTCTCTTTAATATAATTTCATCAATAAAAATATCTTTGGATCCAATACATACTTGTTTTGAAATATGCTCCTTAAAAAATATTTAAGATTGAGTTAGCTAAACAACTTGCTAAAGGAGTAAGAATTTTATAGATTTTTAGTATACTGCAATTGTAAATACTAATGTTAGTTATAGATATAATTCATAAGGGAAAAAAATAAATTTTGACTTATTCAAACTTTCAAATGATCAATATTTGGGTGTGATATTTTCAACTTCAAGTGTTATTTTCAGCGGTCGTCCTTCCATTAGCCTTAATAAAGCATGCTGGGATGACGTACCAAATCTCCCAGATATTAAAAAGCAAACAAATAACTTGAAGTAATTAAATGGTCAACCGTTTCGTCTGCTTTAGTTCCAAAGAACTGGATATTATTACTTTTGACACTAATATTATTACTTTTGACACTATATGTTTATGAAAACAACAACAAAGAGGAAATTTAGATAAAATAAAATCGTGTTACGACTTGTACAATCAGATTTCTTTTAATTCATAACTAACGCTAATGCTTAATATCGATATAAGCTACTTCTTTCAAACTGGATTTATAGTTGAAAAGAATATCACCCTAGCATTGAATATTTATGTAGAGTACCGTATTTGAGATCAACAAAGGGTGGAAACACACTAGGACAAAATAATCTTTGTTTTTGTTATCAAAATAGAGTCGGAGTACAAACAGATGAGGAGAGAGATTTGAGTGTATTTGAAAACAACAGAAGGTGGAGATGCTTTAGGACAATGTAAGCTTAGTAACTGTTATATAAACGGGATAGAACACAAAATTTTCGAGTGGTATTTGAGATCAGTAAATGGTGGAAACGCACTAGGACAAAATAATCTTGGTTTTTATTATCAAATGGAAGCTAAGCACAAAAAGGTGAGAAAAAGCATTCGATAGTGTAATCAGCAGAAGGTGGAATGTAAGAAGGCAGTACAATCTTGGTATATGTGTTTCTTAAGATATCAGTGAAGCTAGAGAGTAGTATAAAACTGCAGCTGAAATGGTAGTATTGATGCAAATTATAAATTAATAAATACATGTATAAACTAGCTTTTTTATATACAGTATATCGTATTGAAAACATTTTGATTTTGCTTATTTACTAGAATACAAATTTCAGAATACATGTTGTTATTTAATATTGCTTTTTATAAAAACTTGAGCATTCTCATTAACTCTAAATGTTGAAATCCGAATTTAGTAAATTTAACTCGTTATACGTAGTTATCGTTAATCTAGGGATAGGAATCGATTCTCAAGTTCTATTAAACAGCTATTTAATCGATTTCGTTCATGTGTAATTAAGTTTCCCATATTCAGATGGAAATAATATGGTAGGAATTGTCAAATATTTGTGTGCAAGTTGTGGATATAGGGATAGGAATCGATTTTCAACCCAAAATCGATTCTCGTGCACAAAGTACGACGATGACGGCGATGTCATAACTGGTCTTTGGTTTTGTTTTTCACTGCACGTTGATTTTTTCCCTTTTCGTTGGAATAGTTGAAGTTGTACTTTGATTATGCTTTGATTAGTTGAGATACTACGCGGTAAATATGATATAGAAGCGATTGAAGTATTGTCATCCGATCAATATCATTATCAGAGTTATTAAACTTTATATTGGCAATGGTTTCTTGGTTATTATCAATACATGTACATGTATTAACATTTTTGTAGTTTGTCGCGTGCTATATCATTTACACGTGAAAATCATGATTTTCCAAATACATGTACATGTACATGTATTTGCGTACGAACACGATTTACGTATGCATAACGAACGTACACGAACTACATGTTCATGTATTTGCAGTTCACTACGTACAGAAACAACCAAATCTACCAGAATGTCTTCATCTTCCTTAGTATCATGGATAGAAACTGCAATTTCAGAAAAACATCTCAAATATTTTAATTTTGACGCTTTTAAAGATAGAGAAGTGATTGGAAATGGACATTTTGGCGAAGTATATAAAGCAACTTTAAACGACGACTTGACGGTAGCTTTAAAAGGGCTTTATGTAAAAAATAAAAACTATGAACGAAATCAAGAAGAATTCGCTAAGGAGGTAGATTATTACTTTATCTGGTAATCAAACCACAAATAATAAAATATAATAAAACTCTATATATATATCAAATTAGTTAAAATTTCTTATTCAAGTTCATTATCATCCAAACATTATTGATTTTTATGGAATTACTAAAGGTAAAGGTTACAATTAAATATATTATCATTATCTGTAAAATCTATGAGTTAATGTTATAAACTTCGACTCTGCCAGATCCCAGTGTTCAAAAATACATGTTGGTTTTTAATTATGCTAATGACGGAACCCTTCGAGATTATCTGGAAAAAAATTTTACCAAGTTAAAAGGAATTGACAAGTTGGCTTTAGCCCAGCAACTTGCAAAAGGGGTAAAGTGTATACACGATGAAGGCATTATTCATAGAGATTTGGTAAGAATCTTATTCATTTCTTTCGACTTTAAGTGAAGTTTAATCTTTTATTTAATTTTCTCATATCAAAGAACCATAATAATATCCTTATTCATAACGGAGAAATCAAAATCGCAGACTTGGGTTATTCAAAACTCTCAGACGATGAATTCAATTCGAAAACTGAGTATGGAATTATAAGCTATGTTGATCCAGCTTTTCTGAAGGATCTGAATAATTTTCGACGTGACGAAAAATCAGATATTTTTAGTGTTGGCGTTCTATTATGGATGATTTCGAGCGGTCATCCGCCATCCAATAAATTTGGATATGTTCATCAAAATATTCTTGAGAAAGAAATGACAATATTTAGTACTCCTCCTGAATATGTCGAGCTCTATCAAAACTGTTGGGATAATACACCAGCAAATCGTCCAACTATAAATAAAGTAAATCAAGATCTAAAAGCTATAGTTTGGTCGCCACCAGAATCTTCTGTTTTCGTACCTGAAACTTCATCTAAAGGTTCATCTACTTTGAGTTCCGAAGTATGGTCATCGATAGAGCAATTATCAGAAAGTTCGGATTCATCATGTGAAGATTATTGCTCTGAAAATTTAGCATCTTATCATGAAAATCTTTCAATTTCGAAAAACGCACCTGAAATTATTGTTGATGATTTATTAAATTTGCTAGATAAACAGCTTAATTACGAAAAAAATGCTTTGACGATTGGTAGATCACTAGAATCATATTATCGACAGAACGCGCCAGATTCTTTCGACGTTTATGCTTTTTATACTTTTATATACAATTCTAAAGATGACAAAATCCAATATTGGACACTCTTAGGATTTTTTTATTATACTGGTTGTATAATAAACAAAAATTTAGAGCTTGCAGCAAAAATTTTCGAAGAATCAGCAACCAAAAATCATGCTATGGCGCAATATTTTATTGGAAATTGCTATGAAGAAGGAAAAGGAGTACAAAGAGATCCTGTAAAAGCATTTCGGTGGTATGTCGAATCAGCGAGGGGGGAAGATTCTAGGGGAAAATATAATCTAGGCACTTGTTACCAAAATGGAATTGGGACAGAGAAAGATAATAAGAAAGCATTTGAATGGTACTCGAAATCCGCCGAATGTATATGTGCTAGAGGACAACGTAATCTTGGTTTGTGTTATCAAAATGGAATCGGAACACAAAAAGATGAGAAAAAAGCATTTGAATGGTATTTGAAATCAGCAGAGGGTGGTGATGCTACTGGACAATATGATCTTGGTTTGTGTTATGATTATGAAATCGGAACACAAAAAGATGAGAAAAAAGCATTTGAGTGGTATTTGAAATCAGCAGAGGGTGGTGATGCTAGTGGAC